ACTCTCCAAGGCTCTAGGGGACACTTTCTCGCAAACATTTTAAGGTGATCAGGTGAACACTGGAACTAGCAGCCTCTCCATGCCTGACCACACTATAGATTCCAGATCTGGTTTTGAATCTTTCAAACCAGCCTCTGCTTGCCTTGAAGACTTCTGGTTCAGCTGAGGTTCCTGGCTCTTGATGTATGAGGTCTGCGTGCAAGGCCTTGGCCTTCTCACGAATGACAGCCTCAGTCACTGTGTCCCCTGCATGCTGCTCCTCTTCCATCCAGATGAGCAGCAACTTCTCCTCCTCCTCCAGAACAGCTGGCCGGTTCTTCACGATCCTGGTGACTCCCTTGGCTACATCTGTCGCAAGGATCTTCTCCCTCATCTTCAGGATGGTGCTGATGGTAGATGGATTCCTCCCGTCCTCCCTGGCGATGTCCACAATTCGCATGCCTCTGTCGTGCTTCCTGATGATCTCCTTCTTCATTTCTAGCGTAATCTTCTCCTTTGTCCTCTTCCTGACTTCTGCAGGAGCAGCCTTCTTGGGACTCATGTCAGCATAGTTGCTATGTTCACAAAAACAAAAGGCAGTGCTTCACATCCGCTTCACACACACCTTCCCACCCCTGGCCAAACCTGCCCTGGACAAACAAGTGGCATAACAACCCCCCCCCAACACAGGAGAACAAACGCACATGGTGAAGCTAAGCTCCCTACCTTTCCACTGCTTGAGATGTCCCTGTGAAGAAGCTCCTTAAATCTTTAACTGCTGATACTGTAGTAGGTTCCCCAAACCTCGGCAACTTACAAAAAAACCAAACCAAAAATCCCCTCCGATGCTCAGAACAGCTCACCAAATGGTCCTCCAGAAGATTTGAAAACCTTCCAAAAAGGCTTGCTAGGAATTGCTCAGAACAGTTGACCAAAGACAGAGTGCCCCCACAGCACAGGCCACAGTTGCTCCTCCAAGTCAACCCTGGAAATGCACGTGCAGAAGTGAGCCCAGGTTGCATTGGGGAGGCTTTTTAAACCTCCAGGCACAATGCATCCTGTGTATTAATGGTTGTGCGATTTAAAACAAACCAAAACAAAAAAATGCAAAAAAAATGGTCTTGTGAAGCACGGCCATAGAAAAATTTGTCTTGAGAGTCACCAAAAAAACGCAAAACACTTTCGTCTTGCGGGTTTTTCGTTACGCGAGGCATTCGTCTTGCGAGGTATCACTGTATGCTAGGAACTGGAGTCCCAAAACATCTAGAGCAATTTCTCAGATATTCTTGGACTAAAACATCCAGAACCCTCCGCCAATAGCAGTGCTGGCCAGGATTTCTGAGTTGTAGTCCAAAAACATCTGGGGACCAAAAGCATTGATCTAAAGGCCACACTACGTCTGCTACTCTATTATAGGATCATCCAAATGCCCACACTTGCTAGCATGAACCACTAGAAAGATTCTCCACACCAAATGTCTACATCTGGCATCTCCCTACCTGTGGCAAATACAATAAACACAAAATGTTTTAAAGAATGGACCTATGCTGATTCTTCCCATTCTCTATCAACTCAATTAAAAAAAACAATTAAACTAAGACGCTTCTAAAACGGTTCTATTTTATAAAGGCATTGTTACTTACATAACTTGGCCTTCAAAATGCAACATGAAAACACAGGATTTGCAAACCTTGACACTCCCAGATATAAGGATTAGGCAATAGGTGACATGAAGGAGATTACTGCCAGGCCAGGTAGTCAATCCTGGGCTAGAGCACTGGTTCTTAACCTTGGGTTACTCAGGAGTTTTGGACTGCAACTCCCAGAAGCCTTCACCACCAGCTGTCCTGACTGGGGTTTCTGGGAGTTGCAGTTCAAAAGCATTTGAGTAACAAAGGTTAAGAATCACTGGGCTAGAGTACAGTATGAGCTGGTATGAGGTGGTTCTCTATGTTTCTAAAGGAAGTTGTCACTGCATCAATGGTTGCAAATTTATTTGTTCCAGTGCTATCTATCTATGTCCTATATTATTTGAGCTTTACGACACAAGCTTCAGAGGCCAAATGTACAAAACAGTAGGACTAACAGTCCATGATATGACTGCAGTGTACAGGGACAAGCATCCTGCTAGCCAAAGATACGGCAACAATGGGAAACATCTGTTCTTTTAGTGAGTGGACATTTACATTTTCAAAAGCTGTTTTCCCAGAATGTGGCAGGCCCTGCCAATTCCCTCCTTCAAGTCTCTTACATTCCTTACATTCTCATGAGCCTGTGTGCTTAATTATTTTTTTTCTTGAAAACAAACATTGTAAGTCAAATAAAGGTCATCCATGAAACATGAATGAACTAATAACATGCCCCTAAGTTAAAATGAAAAACAATACACCAGCAGGCTAAGGGTGAAAATGAACCTCAAAGATTGTCACTAACTCACCAGTGCTGCAACTTAAAGTGTCATCCAAGCATAAGTATTACTGTGTTTTTGTTTTAAATGTATATTTAAGGGTTTTTACATAGTTCTGTAACAAATGAAATGTTGGAGAAAGGGAGATGGCTAAGTGATAGAGCTCCGACTGCAGAAGATCCCACATTTAGTCCATGGCAGTGCAAAGCAAGGGAGGAAAATCTGTCTGAATCTAGTGCCCATGAATATAGATAACAATTAACTGGACTAGACCAATAGTCTGATTTAGTATAAGTAGGGACAAGCTATTGCATGTACTTTGCTTTCTACAAATATTCTATTTTTTAAAGGACATACCATCCATATCCACATAAATAACTTTATTGGCATTAATCTCTCCTAATGTATGCCTTTTTAGATCTCTTCTAATGAGACAGCAGCATCACAAGATTCACAGAAGAACAAAAGGATAATTGCAGTTTGACTGACATATTTATTTGGAAACTTCAAGTCAGGTTGCATTATAATAAAAACCAAAAAGACTTCGCCCCATCCCTGGGCATAAGCCATTTTCCAATATGCTAATGATCATGGTTCAGCAGTAAAGCAACTGCATTGTGTGCAAAAAGTCCATAGTGTTACTTCTGTCTTCAGATATGTCAAGGGGAAAAAAACTGTGAAAACCTGAAGAACTGCACCAGTCATGGTGGACAGCACTGAACTAGAAGGACCCGTACTCTGATCTGCCATAAGTAATTTTGCTAAAACTTTATATTTCTACACTCTTAGGAACTTTCCAATTTGCACATAAGTTGACCTACTGTATACTCAAAATCAGGAGGGAGGAACATACGGAGCATGAGTGGCATGAATTCTCCTTTTTAGTGGCCCCTACTACCGCACCAAATTCTATGGTAGTAAAAAAGCCCATGTAGTATAGTGAACAGAGTGACAGACTTGGATTCAGGATACCTGGATTCAGATACCCGCTCAGCCATAGAAATTCACTAGCAGCAATAGGAAAACAGTTCCTTATAATTCTCACACCTTATTCAATATCTCACACCATGAACACGCTTTTAGAGGTAGCTTGGCAACACATAACATACACCAAAGCAGTGCACTTCCACATGAAATCAAGGCACATGGGCAGTGTGTGTGCACCTGGTTTTGAAAGGGAACTGGACTCCTGAGAGTCTGCTAAAGGCATGAGTTGCCTTTAAAAGAAGGTGTGTGTTTCCCATGTGCCTTGTTTTAACTAAGTAATACTTTTTAAAAAACTTCCAGTTAAACTTTCAGAGTTTCAAAGTAGGTATGAGAGGGTAATATGGGCCCTAGAGGCTGCAGAAGGATGCCCAAATGAAACAAGGGTATTGTTTGGGCTCCAAAGAACTGCAGAATGAATCCCAGGAGATGGACACTGGCGTTTATACTTCTTAAAAAGCAACCAGCTATGCAGATGGCAATCTAACTCAGTACTTGAGGGAGATTTCTCTGAACAGGCTGTAGTAGAGCCCAGGGGTCCTGTAATGGAAAGGGAAAAGGGATTGGGACAAGTGAAGCCACAAATCCCACTATGCATGTCTGGGCTAACGTACTTATTTGGGAGTTAGTGTCAGGTTGTTAAAAAAAAAGCCAAGTAGAATAAGTACTCCTGATTCATTGTGGCCACAGTTTGCCACATTGCCACAGGTAGGGGACTTTCTATATGAAAAATCAGACAAAGGGCAGCAGTGGAGCAGAACAGGCTATTTACTCTATAGGTTCAAGAGGAACCTTACCTTATCCATATGTGAAAAGACTGGGAAAGAGCAACAGATACAGGTGGTGGGAATGGAGGCACAGAGCATTAAAAAGCCACACTTGGGCAATCTGGCAGGCAAGAAACAGGCAATAGGAATGGGATTCTTTGATTTCTTAGACTACAAATCCCATAATTCTCTGCTGGGAGTTCTATCTGACAGACTTTACAGACACCCCAATGTTGCTCACCTGAGAGAAAGGCCTTAATTGGAAGGCTCTGAGACAGAGCTAGGCTTAATTAACTTTGCCTGACTTCCTGTTCAGAAAGAAAGCACCCAAAGAGCAGTGAAGCAGGAACAGGAAGCTTGGGTGGAGCTAGGCCTAGCTTAGCTTTCCAGTTAAGGCCTTTCTTCCTGGACAGCCACATTTAAGTGTCTGTCTTTCAGGTATAACTCCCAGAATAGTAAATTATGGGATTTGTACTCCAAGAAATCCAAACCTCCCATCCTTATTAGGAACATGAAACAAGCTAACTGTATAGCAAAAAAGTAGGAAAATATTATACAAGAGCTCTATAGAGTCCCAGTGCCCTCAGATTTCCAGACAATGGAGCAGAGCCTCCATTTTGTACATGGTGAGAGCAAAAAAAACTGTATAGTATGCAGAATTACTGTATCATATGCATACTGTAATTATTGCACAGCATACAGAATACAAACAGTTAAGTGAAGTATCCTACAATTTAGGGTGAATACACTGAGTAATTTCAAATGTAATTCAGGATTCTTACAACTTTTTTTCATGCGTTGCAACAGTAGGGATGACACACACACCTCATACCAAGCTTCGTGTGAACAGATTGTGAACAAACCTGTTTGAAGACTGAGATGATTGGAAAGAAGATGTAGAAGCCAATCCTCTGACATCTGGCCAATCAACGGGTTCGCTTATTCCACTCTCTACAACCTCTATTTTAAGTGAGTGATTTGTATCAGAGGCCTGGTCTGTTTGATCTTCAACACTCTGTTTTTCTCCTACAATAGAAAACAAAGGCAAGCAAATTGCCTTAGCTGTGTTGTAATCAATTTTTGTTGCAACATCCCTGAAACATACTAAACATTCTTCTGAAACATGCTAAGATGCAAAAGCTATGCTTCCCTGGTTTGCAGCCTTTTCAGCCCTGTTAAAATCTATATTTTAAAACTACTTACAGATAGCTTTGATCAACTGTTGCAGTGGTTTCAGTCCCTCTTTCATTTTGTTTTAAATGCCACACACTGTACAAACTGGGAGTTGAAATAGAAGAAATGAATTTCTCTGATGTTTACTGATTATAAAATTCCGGCCAATTAAAGCAAGAGACGTGCATGTATTACCTGCATGAGATGGGCTTCCGATCACATGATGGCAATTTATGCTAGAGAAATTACATGGTCTGCAAAAGAGCTCTTGTCTCTCAGTGATGAATGTGAATCACTCTCAGAGTGACCGAACGCAGAAATCTTTTGAGGCTCCTTAACTTAAATGTGAACTGGGTTTTCTCCAGTAAAACAGAAACTCATCTGTCCTCTCCTCTGCAGAGGAAGAACGCAGACAGGTGGCCGTACACACCACAGAGACCTGGATGAGTCAACAGGACATTGATCACACTAAGTGGACCTCTGCATCACAGAATAACCTTCACTGTGGGCATGAAAGATCCTTTTTGCTTCCCCAGAGAACAAGGCATCACACTTAGCTATTGAAAAGGATTCCTTTCCGAAAAAGGGGTATCCTAAGCAGATTTTCCTCACTGGGTTCACATCATGCAGGAACACTACTAATGGATTCTATGAGGTTACTCTCAAAAGCCTTCCACAGACAGTGTAATAAACAGAGAGAGACAGAGTGAAAGAAACAGAGGCAAAGATGAAAAGCCACCAATGGAAACTGACCTGTGCCCAAAACAATGTCTGCTATATACATTGTAAACGCATACAATTTCCAAACACTAGTTCAAAAATTATCTGACTATAAGCTTCTGCTTATCAAGGTGGGTGGGAAGGAAAAACCCACTGTAAGGATGTTCTTCTCCCCTTCTGTCAGAAACAGAGAGGGGCAAAGATGAAAAGCCACCAATGATGCTTTTAGACTTCTTGCAGGGGGACATAGATTGGGGTTCTGGTAGCCAGCAACAAAAGAGAAAGTTAATTGTTCTGGTAATGATTGTATTAACTGGCAAAAGAACTCCTCTGTACATACACAAGAATATAAATTGTTCCCTCCTATATCACACAGATTTTCCTTGTGGAAGCTGCAAGTTCGCTTCCACATTCTCACCAGGCTTAGGTCAGTGTCTTTAAAACACCAACAGTGGAGGGTGTTCTTCCTCACTGTCATTACCTTTGGAAACAGACTCTCAGAATTGGGGGGGGGGG